ACTGTGTTGTGAGCAAATCATTGAATGACCCTCCCCTCCGGGTTGCAACCCTCAGCACCATGCGCGTTGAAATAAACTCAAATCAACCTGCACAACACCTATTCACATGATACGTACACATATACACACACACATGAACACAAGTTGCACCCCCACACCCCTTGCACCCCCACACGCCCCCACCCTCACCTGCTGCGTGAACTGCTGGATCATCCCAGGCCCCAGCTGCCGCGTGGTGAGCTTCTGCCGGCACTTGCAGCGCCGCTTCCCGGGGGCCGGCACAAACACGGCCTTGTCGCGCGTTGCGGGGATCTCGCGGCCGCTGTACAGGTCCTCCAGCGTCACAAACAGGTCGACCACCACCGTGTCACCTGGTGAAACGGAATGACAGGCCCAGGGGTGAGATCGGGATCGGGGTGTCAGCAGTCAGGCTTGGTTGCGCAATTCTGTGGGGTCGAGTGTCTGCGGCTGTGGTGCATGCTGACGGACCCACAGCCTAGTCCTAGAGCTCCAGTGTGCCACCTTCTTTGTTCTTTGTGGCATTCGCAACTGCAGCCTCAACACAGCGTCCACCCCAGTCGGTGCATGGCACACTCCCAATTCGGCTGTTAACATGCACAGGCAACCCCTACAAAATCGAGGGCCACCACCCCTTCTAACAGCCGCACGCTCCCAACCACACACCTTTGGGGATCTGCTCCTCCTCCTCCCCGCCCATCCCGCCAAAGGGGCCGCCCCCGCCGCCAAAGAAGAAGTCGAAGATGTTGCCGGGCCCCCCGCGGCCGCCGCCCTGCTGCCCCTGGTGCTGCCTGAGGCCCTCCTCGCCATACTGATCGTAGATCTCACGCTTCTCAGGGTCTGGGGGGTTTCAGGCGGGGCGGGTGCTGGGGGGCTCAGGGCAGAGCGCCGCAAGCGTGGGCTGCACAGAGCTTTTGCACAGAGCCTGTGGAGACTGGTCATGCGCTGCTGCGACACACCAACGCTTTGGCACCGCCAGCCTTTGCTAGAGTGCCACGGGCCCATGATGAGATGAAAGCAGCCGAGGCGGCGGCTGCGTTTGATGGCTGCTGCCTGCACATGCTGCTCCGCTTTGATCCCCCAAGCATGCAACAGACGCGCGGCCCTGCACTTCCACATCTCGCACAGAGAAAGCCCACCCAATGCTTGTCTGATGTTGCATAATCGCCGCACACAGAAACAAAGGTGTGCTGTTGTAGCGCTGTTGTGTCTCGCTTCTCCGCCGCGTTCGGACTCCTCAGGCAACCAACCGCCCCCCAGCCGCGCTGTGCACCATCGCGCCCCGCCCCCCCCCCCCTTGCTCACCCCCCAACCACGCACCACCCCAGCCACTCACCCGAAAGCGTCTCGTACGCGTGGTTGATGTCGGCGAAGCGCTTGGCCGCCTCTGCCTTCTGCTCCTCGCTCCCGCTGACCTTGTCCGGATGGTACTGCAGCGCGAGCTTGCGGTAGCTGCGCTTGATCTGCTGCTCGCTTGCCTGCTTGGGCACGTTTAGCACGTCGTAGTAGCTCTTCTTTGCAAAGGCCACCGGCTGAACGGTGGCTAGCAAGACCAGGACCAGCAGCGCAATGGCAGCAGCCCGTGGCAGCATTTTGCAGCGGTCAGAACACTGGAAGCTCCGGCCCATGTGGCTACACGACGATAGGCCGGAATGCCCGAAGTAATCAAGTGTTAAGATCCGCCTGCGATCGAGCAAGCAGAGCATACACACCCAACAGGGACAGCGTGTGCTGCAGTGCTGCGAAGGGGGCCCCCGGTCAGGACGCGGGGTGACAGAGGACGGACTGCGCACAATGAGACAGAACCATACGTCTGTGAACTCACCATGCGCAACCAGACCCTTCTGACGTGGAGGTTGCGGACAAGGGCGTTGGTCTGTTGTGGACCCGATGAGAAGCTGCTGTTTCTCCATTTCGAGCTCGGAGGTGACGTCCTCGGCTCACAACCTCTTAATGATGATGCCGTGACATCACAACAGAGCACAGCGCACAATGTTCGCTGAACCTGTCCTAGCTGCCCGCGCCTGGTGCAGCTCTCGGTTTAGTTGTCCTGTTGAGTTGACCAAGGTGGCCGGCAGGCGCACCGCCGAGCGTTTTCTCCCAGCCCAGATGTCGTACATGTAAGTCGGCCTCCAGAACCCATAATTTACCCACCCTTCATGGCTGGACACCGACCCTAACCGCCTTTGCGGACGGGGCGCCTGTGCCGCCGCGAGCTGCCTGCAGCCCCCCCACAACTAGGAGGGCAGCAAGCAAAAAGCACTGTCCTCACCAGCAGCTGTCGCTATGTCTGTGTGGGCACCCCATGCGGGCCCCTTCCAGCCGTCACACGCTGCTTCAAATACAAAGCAGTTACACCCGTGAGGCCCCTGACGGCCCCGTCCCGCCATCCGCTCCACCCTCATCACCGCTCAGCCCTCGCCGCCCCCGCCCGCCGCCGCCTTCCCGAGCGCCCCGGCCACCAGCGCGCGCAGCGAGTCCAGCGCCCCCCTCTCCCGCAGCAGCCTCGACAGGTCAGACCGCAGCGCGGACCGCTCCTCCAGCGCCGCCCTGTGCGCCCCCTCACGCGCCTCCAGGGCTGCCTGGCGGTTTGAAGTTTGGGGGGACAATTTTGCAGGTTGCGGGGCGGCAAGGGGGTTTCGGCGTGTGGCGGGGCGACCGGCGCAGAAGGTGATGCAAGCATTGGGTGGGGGGTTTAAATGCAGAGGCACCTGCAGTGCTGTCCAATGGTAAGAGTGGACATTGTTGGCCCGCGCTGCATGCTCAAAACTCCACAGTGTGCAAGCATCAGCAAAGTCAGCCTCGGCCCGTGGCCCCACCGGTCTGCCACGTGCTGCCGCCCCTTGCCCACCCAGGCAGCACCAATGCAGGCGCACTCCCTCCCAATAGAGCCCCCCAAGGCACCCCTTCATGCGCCCAACACACGGCCAAACCCCGCCCTGCGCACCGCCCACCTGCAGCGCTGCCGCCCGGGCCTCCGCTTCTGTCGCCCGTGCCTGCGCCTCCTCCATCCGCTCCAACACAAACTTCGTCGGCCCCGCCGCCGCCGCCAGCCGCTGCCGCGCGTTCGCGAGCTCCCCCTCCGCCCGCGCCAGCTTCCCCTCAGCTTCCCGCCAGCCGCGCCGTAGCTCCCCCTTCTCCGCCTCGAGCGCCGTGCAGCGTGCCGACAGCGCCGTCAGCCCCAGCGCGCGCAGCGGCCGCGACCCTTTCCCGCCCTCCGCGCCCACGCCCCCGCCCCCGCCGCCAGCTGGCGCCTGCTGCAGCTCCGAGCCCGCGGCGCCGCCGCCGCCGTCGGGCGCGTGGAGGCTGTGTGTCGGCCCCACCAGGGCCGCCCCCGCGAGGCCCATCTCTGCGGCCTCGTACTGTGCCAGCTGGCCCACGGCGGCGTCCAGTTGGGCGCGCAGCTCCGCGGTGGCGCGGTCGCGGTCCGCCTCAAGGGCCAGCGCGGCGGAGGTGAGCGCGCGAACCTGGGGTTCGAGGGTTTTGCGTGTGGGTGTGGGGGTAGGGGGTGGTGTGAGAGTCGTATTTGCGTGTGTGGGGAGGTGAGAGTGAGGGGGCGGTGGCAGCCGCGCTGACGTTGCAGGGAGGGCGCGTGCGGGCCTGTCAACAGAGCGCTACGCATTGTCCGTCACCAAGCTGCTTCCGACCCACCAACCTACAGATCCACGCACCCGCTCCCACTACGCCGCCAACCCCCCGCCACCCCCCCCCAAACACACACACACCCCGCCCCCCCGTGCACACACACCTGCCAGCCACCCACCTTGTCCTCCAGAAGCTCAGCCTGGTCCCGCGCTTCACGCAACGCCACACCCCGCTCATCACATAGCGCCTGCGGCCGCGTGCGGCGCACCCCACGCAGAGGTTGCGTGAGCGCCCACGCGTTGCGCGGAGGTTGGGCGCGAGTCGCCACCGGTGCACCCGGGAGGGGTACCCACAGCCATGCGCCATTCTGTGCATGGGCGCGGCTGGGCCCATCGCAACCCACCCAGCCTCGGAGGCGGCCCTGCAAAGCCACGCCATCAATGCGGCATCACCCACCCAGGAAGGGGTGCTGCGCGGCCCCCCCGCCCTGCCCACCTGCACCCGCGTCATCTCGTACGCCCTCAGCTTGGCCTCCCCCACCAGCTCGGCCAGCCGCACGTCGGCCGCCAGGCGCGCGTCGCGCGATGACGTCACCAATGACTCGTGCGCTGCTGCCAGCTCCCGCAGGTCTGCCTTCGCCCTGAAAGACGAGAGGTCGAGAAGCGCAGGGGCCGGATATGTGCTCTTGTGTCGGTGTTGGGTCTCGAAGGGGCGCCAGCACCAGGGGAGCGTTCGCCAGTGCGGTCTGGGCGTCACGCAGCAGCACGTGCCTCCCCAGGGTTTACACACCTAAACCCACGCAGCCCAGGGGCTCGGTCACCTTGCCGCCTCGTCAATCGCGGTGTCCCTTGTTTCCCGCATCAGGCGCACCTTTGGGGTGGGGTTTAGGGGGCCTGGGTTACAGGGCGGAATTGCTGGGGGACAGGCTGCACCATGGGGGCGTCACGGTAACGCGTCAAAGGGACTACGCCACAGGAGACTACGTCCAAGGGAATGTGCGTGAATGAGGCCGATGCAACCTCCACCAGGGGGCGCTGAGCGAAAACGTGCTGCGCGAAAGGGAACAAACCGACACCGGGTGGCTGGCTGGCGCGTTTTCACAGGAGAATGGCGCGAGGTCCGCTGCGATGATCGGCACATGGTACCCCGGGGATGGGTTTGGGCTTGTGTAAGGTGAGGTGCGGTGCGGTGCGGTGCGGTGCCTCACCTCGCGCTCCGCTGCGTCGGATGCCTCCCTGAGCGGATTGTGGCAGGGGGATGGGAGCCAAGGAGGCTGAGTTTTATGCGGTGTGGTTGTCCTGCCGTGTCGCAGGCAATTTCGCCTATGGAAGCAAATGGGATGCAGCTTTAGACGAAACATCACTAGCACCAGCATCAGCATCATCAACAAGCGACGGAGGCAGCGCAGCGGTAGCAGCAGCAGCAGCAGCAGCGGCGGTAGCAGCAGCGGCACCAGCAGCGGCGGCAGCAGCAGCAGCGGCAGCAGCAGCGGCGGCAGCAGCAGCAGCAGCAGCAGCAGCAGCAGCAGCAGCAGCAGCGGCACCAGCAGCAGCGCTGCTGAAGGGGCGTCTTGACGCGCAAGTAGACGCCGCGCACCTCTTGACGGCCTCAACATCCGCTGCCGCCTGCGCCTGGAGCCGCGCCAGCTCCTTCTCAAGGCGGCCGTCATCCTTGCGATTGGGGAGGATTTGGGGCGTGCGGGGGGGGGGGGTGTCAGCATAGCAGGTGAGTGGTCGGGGTTGAGCTGGCCGTCGCCATGTTGTTTGCTGGCGCATGGTTGAGCGTGTACGTTTGAGGGGGTGAACTTGGCCCTTGGTAAAGAGGCGCGCGCTGGGGCAGGCGCTTCAAGTGTGCCAAAGGCGGGGGTTGCCAACAGGCTTCGATCCTGCAACAGGTGGGACCGCATACGCATGCACTACAGAGCATACCCAGCGCCCTTACTCCTTTTGCGCAATGATGCAGCCGCCTGTGATCTGTTGCTGACGCGCTTTCCCTGGCCAGAATCTTCACACACTGCTAACACACGCGCACACGTGTGCTCATGTGACACTTGTGTTTATGCCCTCTCCCCGCATTACGCTGCACTCAATGATCGTGCCAACCACTGCCCTTGCATAGCAGCCCCGTACCTTGGACCCAACCTTCTTGCAGGCCCGCCTACCTGCTTCCTAGCAGCTTCCTCCATGTCGTTCAGCCGCTGATACAGCTCAGCCCTCACGCGCTTGAGTTCGATTATCTTATCAAAGTAAGGCATGTCACCGCACACAGGGATTGGCCGATAGAGTGTGGCCGGTGAGGGCAGTGG